TTAAACGCGAATTACAACCAAACGGCTAATAACCACAGTAATATATCGATACTTGCTAGATTCCCAAAACATTCAGCTTTCATATGCATCTTTTGGATTCATTCTATGTATTATAGTTTTCGAGTAAATCAATGAAATGTGAAAACACTGCTTTTTCGAACGTTCTAATTTCAATTTTTCAACTTTGAACGCGTATTACAGCAATATGGATAAGAGCACAGGAATGTATCTATACTTTAGCAGATATTTGGAAAATTGTTTGTTTATTGCGTGTATTTTAGAACGGATTAAATTCGTTAAGCGAGGTCCCACTGTATTGGAATAAGTAGATGGTATGGGAAAATATTGGATGGATAATGTAAGGTATAAAATAAGTATCAGACAGTGTACGAGACATTTAATTTCACTTTCACTCTCTCTTTCAACATCATCATCATCATCGACATATCTTCAGTTCCAACTGAACATCTCTTATAAATAAACGTAAAATCACAATATATACAAATAAAATTCTATCAAAAAAAAAAATAATAAAAAAAACAGAAAAAAAAGGATGGAATGTACCAGAAAAGTATACAAAAAAAGAAATTGCACTTAACATATAAAACAAAACACATAAATAATCGTATAATTAAGTACGTTGAGTATTATTTTTTTGTTTGTTTTCACTTGGGTGGGAATGTGTGAGTGAGTGAGATCTCGAAAGAAAAAAAACTTTTTGTCCCTGTCAAAAAAAAAACAAAAAAAAAACGCGCACAAGAACAAAACCTAACCAATGTCCAAAACTTATCAGCAAGATGGCAGTCTTTAACGTCAATTTGACCTGCGTCAAATTTGACGTAAATCATATTTGTATATTTGACACACGTCAAATATTGACGTTAAATCAAATGTTAGTTTGTTTCATAAAAAAATCAAGAGAGGTACAAAATTATACGTAAAAATAATTGAGAGACACTTAAAACGTAATGAGCATAATATTACATAATACGAAAATACTTATAAAATATCACAAAATGTAAACGCAATATAAAAAAAATGGCAAATAATTCTTCCTTCGTCGCACAAGTTTCTGTTTCGTTCGTTTCTTTTCTTTCATCATTTACACTTACACAAAATCTGAACTAAATACAAAATATATGTAAATATATATATATAGTATTTATCGTTTTATAATGTTGATTTTTTTTTTGTTCTTTGTATATAATAATAATAAATATGTGGGATTGTGTGTATATAAATTTATATGTATATATATATATAATATATGTATATAAAAAGCTACAAATATATTTTGTATAGAAAAAGAAGAAGAAAAAACAAAACTTGATTGTTTTTCGAATTTCTTGGGAAGGGATGAAAATTACAATTACTACAACAATCAGCGTGAAACAAAAAGTTCCCTAACCGTTACGAACATTAAATACAGTCTTATTTTGGTGTGTACTCGTTATTAGCGTCCAAACGTCAAATTAATGACATACGTCATCTGTCAATAAATTGACATATGTCAAACGTCAATAAATGAACGTTGTGGACACAATTTTCATTATAAACTCGACTAAGAAAATAAATTCGAAATAAAATCCACTACTTAGCTAAATTTGTTATGTATATATCTAAATGAAGAATCAGTCAACGCTAGTTTCAACTAGACATGTAGTAGTAGTTAAACATAGAATTGATTTCGACAATTATTTGCGTAAAAAAATATATATATAAAAATAAAAACTAAAAGTTCACAGAACAGAATACAGCAAATTAGATGTAAATATTATATAAGTAAAGTATAAATAGTATTAAAACTTATTTAAAAACAAATTTGTACAATGTTTCTTGTTATCTACGTTTGTTTTGTTTTTTTTTGTTTTTGTTCTCCCTCGGATCGCAAAATTGTGTGTACATTCATATATTTCATATAACATTATAAAACATACAACTTTCAAACCGAAGTTTCCTCGTCCTTCTCTTTTCTAAAAAGAACAGAATAACAAAAATACATTGCATTGTCTCCCTATGTATATTATCTCGATTATTAATGTTTTTGGTTAATTTTATATAATTTTTTCCCTTTCTCTAAATATTAATTATATTTTTTTTCTTTGCCTGATTTATTTTCCCACTACCACTCCCGTTATTTGTTAATGCCATATTCCCAACACCATCTAAACCAATCGGAAAGAAGAAAATCTGTTTTAAATACACACATTGTTTTAGAATTCGGAAATTTCGTGCTAAAATTTCGGTTAAATTTAATTTAATTTTCAAAATAAATAAATTTGTTATTTTTTTGATAATGATATGATGTACTTACTGCGTAGGATCCACCGGATGATGGTTGGAATGCATCATCGTGACGGGAGGCATCAATGGAGATGGGGAACCCCTGGTGCTTCCGCATATCGAACCGTGCACCGAACCCAGCACCGAGCCCATCCTCGATCCCATCCTGGACCCATGATAATCCATCCCTAAATACAAAACGCCATCTATTAATTAACCGTAAACTATTTTTTACTCATCGTAAATATGAAAACTACAATTGCGTGTTTTTAAAAAATGTGATGTAGTGATGTAATAATAAGCAGGCTAAGGTAGAAAGAAATAAATAAAAAGCAGTTTCTGGTGGCGGGGATAGAGTTTACACTTACCGGGATTGTTTACGTCGTTTGTGATTGGGGACATGATTCTACTGGATGGGTGATGCATGTAATTATTATGGGATGCCATATGGTCTTCCTCGGCTGCAATTTAAAACAAAAATAAAGAAAACAAAATACAAACAAAAAAAAATCAAATAATATAAAAAATAAATAATAATGGAGGTTGAACTACTGTTGAGAGGGGTGGAGCTCGCCGTATTTAAAGGCGTATCCGATTGTCTGGAGGCGGAGCTACGTTACCTGTGTATGGGAACAAGTATTTGTCGTTGATGTGGTGTTTCTCGTCGAGGTCTGAGCATCTCTCTGCATATTCCTGGTAGTTGATGTTCTCGTGCGGTGACACCAGTTTACCCATGTACTCGGCTTTGGTATGCGCCATGTTCGTAACATACTGAGGATCGTAGTGGGCGCGCATCATGTACTGCTCCGATTGGTTGGATGGCAGACACGTGTCTGGGGTTATATCCGGATTGGGTAGCGGATTCGGGCTCTTGTGGCAGAACTCGTTGTCCGAGCCCGTCTCCGCAGACCATCTTCCGACTTCAGGCACTGAAAGTAAGTTTATTTTATTGTACAATTTCTAAGATATATACGTTTTGAATAATTTTACCTGGTGGACTGTGCAAATATGCCTCGGGTAATTGGCTGGACCATCTGGGCGCGTACGGTTGCACCGATGGAAACAGCTGCGATTTGGTGACGACGTTGAGGGCGGGAGGCGTGCCGCACCTGGTGACAACATGTTCGGTGATGTTCGGAAGATAACCCTGCCTTCCGCCCATCCTGCCCCGGTGTCTACGCGCGCTTGATTCGTCGTCGTCGCTGGAATGACTGGAAGCCAATTCGAGGCTCCGCCCTTCAGATCCATCCGAATCCGAATCACTGTCACGCCCATCTCTGCGATCTCTACGCCCACTGTCCTCTACCACCTCCCTGTGCCTATGCATACCACCGTCCTGCTCGAAACCTCTAAGATACGAAGGAACATCGCTCGTCGAATTGTAATTAGAAGTACTCGTAGAGGTATGTCTCAAATGGGTATCGCTCCTAAAAGCAGTAACAATATTTATACAGATTTTAATTGACAAATTGATTTTTACCTGTAGGGACTTGAACTAGTCTTGGTGGTGGATCTGGACGTAGTACTCGAAGTGGAAATACCTATATTCCTCCTAGCTGCATCCATGGCTGAGCTGTGATACGCCAAGGCGGATCTCTGTAAAATTTAAGTGTTTTCATATTTACGTTACAACAAAATATTTGATTTTGTTTTATTGTAAACTCACCGATTGGGCGTTCAGATTTTGGCTGCTAGTGCTAGCCACTCCAGCCACCGAATTCGTCTCCAGCAAAGGTACTTTTCTACCCATGCACCTCAAAATGGTTCTAACCAAGTTCTGCCTTACTCTGTTATTAGCAACGCAGTATCCCAGCAACGAGAAGAGAGCGTGCACGAGGACAGCCAATGATAGGATCGGAGTCAGAAGGGGGTGTTTCTCTGAGGCGGCCAACAACGCCAACACCCACGACGCCCCTAACAACGGCAGCGCCACCACCGAGACCCAGAGTAAAGTTCGAAGATTTCCGAAACCCATGACGTGGTCTTGCAGAGTGAAAGCCGCTCGCACGGCGAACATCAGGACACCCACATTGAAGAAAACGAATATTCCTATTGGTCCAACGACGCTCCAAATGACGCTCTCGTAAAGAGAAACCCAGCAGCTACGAAGGAACAACCATATTCAATTGTATTATATAACAATTATTAGAATTACTTACAAATAATAGTTTCCGTATTGATGGGCTCGCACTCCCACGGCCATGCTCACGATGATCGCCGGAAGGACGTATCCGATGCAGTAGTAGAATCGCATAGGGCCATGGTTGATGTCGCGCATCTCCGTCAGCATTCGGTAGAGATGAAGAGCGTCGACGAGCATCCAAGCGAACGCTCCTAACCACAGGTAATGCAAACCCATCGCCACCAATTTACACCCAAATTCGTTACCCACCATGGGTTTTCTCGCTTTCAGCGCCACGAAATACAGCAGTTCCGCGAGAAAAACGCAGAGCACCAGGTTCTTGCGAATCGTATTAGAGTTGGTCTGAGCTCCACGAAGGAACGCGAGGATCAGGTATGTCGCGAAGAGGATAGGAAGAGATAGCGAAAAGCAGCTGTAACTGGATATATCCTCGAGTAGAGATGGCTCAGGAATGTACTGTAAACGAAATTATGTTATTATTGTAGGTAATATTTTACTGGTATTATAATATTGGCAATACATACCTCAAGATCGACAACGTCTACGAGCACGGCAAACGTGGATAGATGATTGCAGGTGCAATTGACCAATAGAGGACCTCCGTCGTATCTATCGAACCAATCATCGTTGACTTCCGTCCGGCAACCAACCCTGCTCCATTCGCCGAACCCTCTTGCCGTGGACCAATGGACGCATTGCGGATTCGATCTCTCGTTGAAGATCATCTTCTCGTCGTCCAACCAAATCTGGAGACGCACCGGAAGATGCAGCATCACTCCCGATAAACTCCTGAACAACACCTTCCTGGTCTCACTCTCATCCCTTTTCGCCCTCTCCAATCTGTAATATTGGGCCTCATTTTCGTGTCCCCTAATCGCGCCTTCGCTGAAACTCTTCTTCTCAAAATCCCGGAAACTGTATTCAGGTTCTTTGATATCTTCGAACGTTATCTTCCTTTCAGTTATCGTTTTATTAACAGCTTCCACGTATTCGGGTATTAAGATGCTTAGGGAAATTAGCGGTGAGCCAATTGCTATGTCAACACCCCATCTTCTCACCACGGAATCATCGTAGAGATCTGGTAGCAGATTTCCGGCTTGCTTGTATTGGACGTAACTGATGACAGGTCCAGAAAGAGGTTTAGAGTTCTTCGTGCTCAGCTCGCCAATCTCCAGAGGCTTTATCCCAAGCAATTTCAGCGGTACCAAAATTTTCGAGTTGACGTCGAATTTGCTTTTGTCTTTTAGGTAATTGTTGTACTTCGGGAACGAGACTAATGGACCCAACGATTGAGTCGATTCAGAGTTTTCCAAGAATTGCGAAGTATCTGGTATTACCACTCTTTCAGTTGTGAAACTATTGTCTGGGGAGATGATTGAAATGCTGTTCTTTTCTTGGCCGTAAAGAGAATCCGGGGTAATAATATCTAAACCAAGAACTGAAACAAAAGGATTGTTTTAAATTGGTTACTATGGTTAGTGGATTAAATTGAAACTTACCGACGTTAGAGGCAACGATTTCGAATGGATTTGTGTAGATGTCGCTTTTGCTCTCGCAAAGGACGTTGATGTACTTTTCGAAGGATGCAATCAGTTTTTCTCCGCTCGATTCTGTCAACTCTTTGATGCGTTTCCAATGTTCAGAATACTTTGAATCTAGTATCGAGCTAGCTGATAACACCAAATTGGAGATGTAGTCTTTATCTTGGCTGTGCGTCAAGTTTAATCCGTGCACTTGAGATTCGTGCTTCAGCAGCTCCATGATCAGATCATTGGTGATGAGTACGTCTGCTCCATAAAGATTCGATGTGTGATTGGTGGCTTTGTGTAAGTCTGAGGCAAGATTGATTGCGTCGAAAGTGTTAATCCTATCCGTTTCTTTCTCTATAGCTGAGAGCTTCACGCGTAGTTCCACGAACTTTTCCGAGGTGCAGTTGAAGAGGTCCGGGGATTGCCATCCTCCTAGCTGATTATCGCACGATCTTGACGCTTTCCCCAGTGTGCCTTTGGGACACGTCTCCGTGGCTTCCGCGCCGAAAGACGTCCTCGGCCACCAAATTCCATCCGAGGCGCTCCTCGGGCAACCGTCGTAAACGACCTCACATCCTTGCAGCGTTATCTCCGCGTAAGGATTCGGACAAGAATCGCACTTCTTTCCAATAACTCCGTCCTTGCATCTGCACTGTCCACTCTGCTGATCGCAGATCGCACTGTAAGAACCGGTCAGGTAACAATCGCACGGTAAGCATTGCGTCGTTCCAGGAGGCTGGTAATGGTTCTCCCTGCATCTGCATTGACCCGTCTTCTTGTTGCAGTCCGGATGGTAACCGGATTCGACGTCGCAATGGCACGGACCGCAAAAAGGGAATCCCCACCAGCTGGAAGGACACGGTTGAGCCTGACGATTCTCGCAATACTCTCCAGAGTAAATCGTAGAATTACAATCGCATTTGTAGCCTTTTGTGGATAGTTCTTCTACGCAAAGTCCGGAATTTTCGCACGGACTCTTGGAGCAAATGGGAACGCACAGAGGACCGACGTGTCCTTCGTGGCACTCGCATCTGGAGGATCCCCATTCGACGACGCAATTCGCATTCGCTGGGCATTCTGTTGTACATTTAACATTAGATTCGCAACCGTCCAAAACGTTCTTCCGGGCTGTCGGAGTGTTCAACATCTGCTGGTTATTGCCAATCCTCACGTCTTGAATGCATCCATCGAAATAGTTGTAACCGGCGTTGAGGAAGGTGAAAGTATCGTCCGGTCCTCCGACGAGGATCTTTCCAACGATCAAACCTTGTATTTTACTGTTGAAAGGAACAACGGCTGTTCTTTCACCGTAATCCACCGAAATCTTAATCTCCGTCCCCAACCAAAGCACGTCGATCCGATGCCAGCGTCCGTCGGAAACGAATTTCGGAACGGAAAAGTTCAAACTCTCACCGTTGTAACTGTAAGCAACCAATCCATTCCTGATATGAAGAACTGCTGAGCTATTTTGACCCAAATGCCCGGACATCAAGAAAGCGTCTTGCTGCAAAGTGCGTACCGTCATCGAATTAATCCACGGTAACTGAATGGGTCTCAAAGATGTTGGTATAAAACTCAAAGTACCGTCACCTTCAAACCTCCACGGTTTATTCACGCTCTCCCCGCAATCCTTTCCGCCGAATCCCTCCGCACATTCGCACCTGAACATAGACCAAACCTCTTTGCAAACTCCACCATTCTTGCAAGGCTTCGAACTGCAGTACGACCGCTTTTCCGGGCATCCCGCAACCGTCCCGTTGTCTGCAACGAAAGAGTTGAGATCCACAAACTGGTAATCCACCTCAAGATCGGAGATGCATCCAACGTAATGATGATTCATCGCTTGGAATTTTTCAGGCAACGTTGGAAGTCCGCCGAGCTGCAGCGGCCCAGTGAGATCGAGGAAACGATGGCAAGTTTCCGTAAGCGAAGAGCATCTACTCTCCAAGATGTGCTGACTGTAGCCCGCGCATTCCCATCTTCCGCCCAATTCTTCGCCGTGCGCCAAAGCTAAAGCCGTGTCGCAATCATCCAACGAGATGGTAACAGATTTATTAAAGTAATGCACCGTAACCGTGTGCCATTCTCCATCGGAAACGCCGCCAGGAAGACTCGCAGTGGCTCTGGTAACACCGCTTCCCAACGAAAAGGAAAACTGCACCGAAGCATTAACGATTTCCAAGGCGATGAAGTCGTGCAGTTCGTTGTACCTTCCGTTGTACAGAAGCAAACCGTTGCGACTCGTCGTTGCGAATCTTAGTTGAAGATGCATTCGATGTCTCTGCTTTAAGCTGGGAAAGGTGAGAAAGGAATTCGCGGAGAAGCTGCGACTCTTCAGTTCGCAGAGTGGCGTGTAGTGTTCGGACCCGGTTGCCGGTGAACAATCCTCGCAGACGAAACCGCCTTTCAGTCTCTTCGTGCACGTCGATCCGCTCTTGCAGATGTTCGAATTGCAGGTGTCCGAGTTTAGTTTTATTTCGCAGTTTGGACCGGTGAAATCCGGTGGACAGACGCACGTGTATCCACCTTCTTTGACGCGACACGTGCCGTTGTTTTGGCACGGAGCGGAGTAACAAAGGTTCACCTCGGTGTCGCAAAGGTAATGTTCTTTAGAACCTGCAATAACAACAAGAAAATTGTAGATTTACAGTTAATTTAATTACTTTGTTTGATTACCTGTAAAACCTAGTGGACATCTGCAGGTGAATGCGGTGACTGGATATATGGGTCTGAAGAGGACTGTGCTACTTGAAATGAAACCAGAAGCGTTACCGAACTTCAGCACTGTTAAACACTCTTCGTAATTCAAGCACGGTTCGCTGACGCAAAGGTTATCGTCGAAAGGAAGCACCTGCACTGTGGAAATAGCGGCGAGTATGGACCTCTTCAAATAGACACGTTCTTTGAGAAACTGCTGAGTGTAATATTCCTCTTTAGGAACGTCCGGTCTTTTCACCGAGAAACTGACGTTCAAAATCTTCGAGTTAACATCGATGTCGTCTTGAATGCTGAAGATGAATATGTTCTCTTTGGGACACGGTAGAATAGCAGCTAGGCCATCGATGAAGTAGGTGAGGAGCGGTGAAAGGAAAGCCTCTTTGGTCATCTGGTTGAGTCGAACGGTGATGGAATTGTAGAGCATCGATTCGGTGATCAATTTCACTGAGAGCTGCATTATCGCTTTGACGTCGTTGACGCCATCCGTGACCGAAACTTCCATAGTTGCAACTTTCGGTACGTTCGTGTTGAGTTGAGGACTCAATTGTAATTGTCCACTAGTCTCATTGAGCGCCACTAAATTTGCGTTGTTTCCTGATAAAATGCGGTAGTGAAGACGATCCGAGACGTCGGCATCAAAGGCTGGGATTCGACCGATCGGAGCCGATGGGAAATGATCCTTGAAGTTGTTGAAGAGGATGTGAAAGTCTTTGAGGACTGGCGCATTGTCATTAACATCAGTTACGATTACTTCGAGAGGAACGTCGCTTCTTAATGGTCTGGACGAAGCGCGAACTATGAGATCGTATTTTTTCTTAGGACTTTCGTAATCTAATTCAGTCATTGTTATTAGCTCGGCTTTATCCGTTCCAGGGATGGCGACTAAAGAGAAACAATTAGAGTCTTCACCTCCGATGATGGTGTACTCGATTTTGGCGTTTTGACCCTCGTCCGGGTCTTTGGCTTGAATCTCGCCAACCGTCGAGCGAATGGGACTGTTTTCGGGAATGTACAGAACGATTTTGTCTGTGTCGAAAGTTGGAGGTGAATCATTGACGTCGAGTATGGTGATTACAACTGGGACTGTTGAGCTTCTTGGAGGGCTTCCCCTATCAATTGCGTGAGCTTCCAGAGTGTAAGAAGCCACCGATTCTCGATCTAAACCTTTATTAGTTCTGATCACTCCACTCGTTGGATCAATTACGAAAGATCCATCCTCGATATCCTTTTCACTCAGGGTGTAACGGATTCTTCCGTTCAAGCCTATATCAGCGTCCGTGGCTGCAATTTGCAGAATACTCGTGCCAATTAACGCATCCTCAGAAACGCTGCCAGAATACGGAGTATTCTGGAAGATGGGAAAGTTGTCGTTAACATCTGTCACTGTAATTTCCACGTCCGTGGTATCCGATAACGGAGGATTCCCACCGTCCTTAGCAGTCACAGTCAAAATATACCCACTCAACACTTCACGATCCAAAGTTTTCGCGGTAACTATAGCCCCAGTTTGCGGATTAATCGTAAAATCCTGAGGCCTATCCAAATTGGTGTCTTCTCCCAAAGAGTACGTAATCTCCGCATTCAAACCAACATCATTATCACTTGCAGACACAACCAAAACGGTAGTACCGACTATAGCATCTTCAAACACGCTCGCAGAGTACGGAGCGTTTTCGAAGACTGGAGAGAAATTGTTAGCGTCCGTCACGTTCACGTAAACCGTAGCTTTATCTTTGCGTCCACCCGAATCTGAAGCGGTCACCTCCAGAACGTACCTCTTCTCCTGCTTGTAATCCAACGGTTGAGCAATCGTAATCAAACCTCTTCCGTTCTGCGAGGTAATCGAAAATCTGTTCCTGCTGTTTCCATTCGACAATTCGTAATGAAGACGCGTATCTTCATCAGCGTCCGAAGCCGTGACAGTCGTCACCTGCGTTCCAGGAGGATCGTCTTCAGAGACCAAAGCTTCGTAGACTTTCGGCTCGAAGACAGGATCGTTGTCGTTGACATCTTGCACCGTTATCACTATACTCGCTGTAGCCGAAAGCGGTGGATTTCCTTGATCTCGTGCTATCACCTGAAGCATGTACTTCGATTGCTCCTCGCGATCCAACTGCTTCGTCGTGTAAATCCAACCAGAATGAGCATCCACTGTTAAAGGAATGTCTTCGGTGCTCGCGCCGCTCGCATCCCTCGGCGCTATATTATATAATATGTTGGCGTTGAGACCGTCATCGTTATCGAATGCTTGCACTTTTAGTATACTGAATCCGGTGGAAACACTTTCGGAGACGCTCTCTTGAAAGAGAGACGTGTAAAAGCGAGGTGCGTTGTCGTTAACGTCTTCGACTTTGATCAACAGTTGCGTGGTGTTGGATCTGGAAGGATTACCTCCGTCCTGAGCCCTCACGACTAATCGGTAATTTCGCAAAATCTCGTAATCCAGAGGCTTCACCAACGTGACGTCTCCTGATAGACTGTCGATGGTGAATTGAGATTGGGTGTTGCCGCCGATTATTGCGTATCTTATTGCCGCGTTTACTCCTTGATCAGCGTCACTAGCTCTACGCAAAGACAAAGAGATTTATTTGGTATTCAATTTACAAATTAATTTAAGTCTTACTTTATGTGAGCAACGACGGGGTTTTCGGACCAATTGATGTCCTCTCTGATGTTCACGGTGTACGCCCTCTCAGAGAATTGAGGGTAATTATCGTTGTCATCAGACACGTTGATCACAACTGTAGCGCTGTTAGTAAAATTATGAATTATTCGCTTCTTATAACCAAATGCAAATTACGTACCTAGCAGATCTTCTTGCGCTCTGCGGCGTGGCCTGATCTGTAGCATCGACGATCAAGGTGTAAACTTCCGTGGTTTCTCTATCCAAACTGGATCTGGTTGTGATGACACCACTTTTCGAGTCGATTTTGAAGACCTTGTTGTCATCCTCTGGCTTAGATGTTCCACCACCGAAGACGCTCTGAATGCTATACTCGACCTCCGAATTCTTCCCGTAATCCTGATCCGTGGCTTTCAAAGTGATCACCGTTGTCCCTACGCTGACACCTTCACGAACCGAAGCCTCGTAATCGTTCATCTCGAAGACTGGTGTATGATCGTTAGCGTCGAGGACGTTGATCTGCAGCATTGTTGTACCACTCCTCGGTGGGAAACTATCGTCCGTCGCTAACACCTTGAAATAATGCACATCCACCAATTCTCGATCTAATTTAACACTGGTCGTAACTAGTCCCGATTTCGTGTCGATATCGAACATCGATTGAGTGCGCGAATCCAGAAGACTGACCATCGAGTATGTCATCAGATTGTTCTCCGGGTCTCTCGCTTTCATCGTGATGACTGCAACACCTGGATCACACTCCTCCATAACGCTTGCAATGTACAAATGCTGCTCGAAGAATGGACTTTGGTTGCGTAATTCGCGTCTCACGCGTTTCGCAATGTCTGTATCGTTGAAGATCTGATGATGGTAGACGATCTTCAGTCGGTGATCAGAGTCGAGGATTCTGTTGCCGCTGCATTGAGCGTTGAAGAGCACGACGACTTTCCAGAGAGGCTCCAGGATGCAGACGTCTTCGCTGGCAACGAGATCCCCTTGACTCGCCTCGATCTTGAAACGATCGTCGTTCAGATCGACGAAGGTCACGGTGCAGTTCTTCGCTATGCTTCGCGGCAGAAAAGCCGTTATCGAATTGATGAATTGGGACTTCTTCAGGCAGATGCGTTGCCATTTATCTGAAGTGGGTATTGCAAACGAGGCGTACGTTTCGGAGATCCAGCGTTTCGCAGCCGAGACTCTAGTGTTCACATTCGGATGAGCCCGATGCAGAAATGGATTCATCGCATTTCTTTTCCTCCTTCCGACCGCCACCGAGAGGTCATCATCATTGTCGGTAACCTCTTTGCGATCCTCGCTGCATCCCGCTCCCACTATGAAGATGCGAAGGGGAAGACTGTAGTAGTCGATGTCTCGCAGTCGGTTCGATGTGGAGTCGATGTGAACGGTGAAGAGATTGGGGTAGTATAAGGAGTTGCAGTGCAGAGGCTGCAGAAGACGGACGATTCCATCGTGGGGGTCGACTTCGATGAGGTCGTCGACGAACGATGCCGATCTCTCGTGATTGACCTTGTAGCTGCGCTCAGAACCCAATCTGTAAACAGATGCGTCGAAGATGACGTCTCCGGACGCCTGATCTTCGGTCACGAGCAGCAGGTAACCGTTACTTAGTAACGGAAGGCAGAGGAGCAACGCTAGAAGCAGCGGACTCCTCTCAATCGCGGGAGCCTTTGAACTCGACATTGTTCACCAACATTTTCTCATCTTCATTCTGAAACAACAACAAAAATAAAAACGAAATCAATCACAAGGTCTTTTCAAATAAACAATTCTATCTTCATAATAATAATAATAATAATTGTTAAAACGCTTTCGTTTCATATGCAGTCAACAACTGCAGCAGCATCGACTTGTGGATGGAAACTGGTTTTCTGTACGACTCTTTCATCTATCTCATCTACATAAATTACTTTTAACTAGTCCAACTAAATGCTATCAGAAGAAAACGAAAAGAACATTGGCATTAATCAAAGTAATTAAACTGATCAAGTTTATACAGAACAACTTCATAAACTGCAATACAATGCAATATTATACAGTTTTCAAGAAAATCACTAAAATGTAAAGACTTCAAAATATATTAAAAGACTTTGCTTTTTTCGAGTGTTAATTTTCATCATTTTTGAACTTGAATTGCAGAAAAACGGATGAAACTACAGCAATATATGAACACTCACTACATTCCCCAAACATTGAATTTTCATATGCATCTATTGAATCCATTCTAATTATTGTAGTTATTGAGAAAATCACTGAAATGTGAAGACACTGCTTTTTTTCGAGTGTTAATTTACATCATTTTTGAACGTGAATTGCAGCCAAACGGATAAAACTACAGCAATATATGAACACTCACTACATTACCCAAACATTCAGTTTTCATATGCATCTATTGAATCCATTCTAATTATTGTAGTTATTGAGAAAATCACTGAAATGTGAAGACACTGCTTTTTTCGAGTGTTAATTTACATCATTTTTGAACGTGAATTGCAGCTAACCGGATGAAACTACAGCAATATATGAACACTCACTACATTCCCCAAACATTGAATTTTCATATGCATATATTGAATCAATTCTAATTATTGTAGTTATTGAGATAATCACTGAAATGTGAAGACACTGCTTTTTGCGAGTGTTAATTTTCATCATTTTTGAACGTAAATTACAGCCAAACGGATGAAATTACAGCAATATATGAACACTCACTACATTCCACAAACATTGAATTTTCATATGCATATATTGAATCAATTCTATTTATTGTAGCTATTGAGAAAATCACTGAAATGTGAAAACACTGCTTTTTTCGAGTGTTCATTTTCATCATTTTTGAACGTAAATTGCAGCCAAACGGATAAAACTACAGCAATATATGAACACTCACTACATTCCCCAAACATTCAACTTTCATATGCATCTATTGAATCCATTCTAATTATTGCAGTTATTGAGATAATCACTAAAATGTGAAAACACTGCTTTTTTCGAGTGTTAATTTACATCATTTTTTAACGTGAATTGCAGCCAAACGGATAAAACTACAGCAATATATGAACACTCACTACATTTCCCAAACATTCAACTTTCATATGCATATATTGAATCAATTCTACTTATTGTAGTTATTGAGATAATCACTGAAATGTGAAGACCGTTAATATTTCAGTTTTGAACGCGAATTTAAAAACAGCAACCTAATTAGTACGTAGAATGCATACTTTTCCTTAAAATATTAAAAATTTGACCGAATTATGTTGCGTGTGAAACGGATCGTCGACGCATGAAAAACCCCGCTTTTCTCACAATCTAATTGCACATATGCATACACCAATTAACATTTTCGTGGCCTTCGTCGACATCAGCAACAACGAAAAAAAAAAAAAACAAATTACGATCATTAAAAGTCTCTTCTCTCGTTCGTTTCGGTTTCTTTTCTCCTCCCTTCTTCTTCGTCTTCGCAGGTAAAGAACGTTAGTTTCGTCTCGTTCTCTCACCCACTTCGTTTCATCACTCCATCTCACGTGAACTTTTTCGTTTCGAGCGTTGGAAACGTAATTTTCTCCCACTCTTAAAGCAGAAACGGATGCACGCGTGTGTTAGAGTGGGACAAAGAGAACGGACGTCGCTGTAAGAGCAAACGAGATGGAGTGCATGAACGAGTTAACGCTCGGATAATATTAAAACATTCCTAGAGCAGGTTGAAAATGTCGTTAGTGGTAGAGAGAGAATATACTAAGTTCACAACGAAACACCTGAGAGGAAGAAACTAGTTCCACTTTGTTGTTTGAGACTCTTTTCTTCTCCTCCTCCTCCTCCTCTTCTCCATCGAGAAGGCAACTTGAGAATTCTTTGCAAATATTCTGCGTTAGTTTCCGTTCCGGAATTCGCAGAATTCCTCCATCTCCGCCACCTCCTTCTTCACTTCCTTTTCCTGCAAACTGCAGAGGATTTAATTGGAATCCTGCGATGGTGGAGGATCGATGAAGAATGCGACGTTCCTCCTCTCTTCACCTGTCCAATGACACGACACCAATAAAATCGAGAAATCCATAACCCTTTGACCCCAATCGACTCACCCTCTTCCCAAAAAAAAAAGACACACACACAATTCTTCACAAAGAAACTCCAACTTTTCTGCACATAAACATGAACACATTATTTAAATTTTATGAAAATATTTAAGAAGAGCGAAAAAGATTAAGAATGGAGACGACGAAAACGTGAAAGAAATGAAGCAAAGTTTAATTTGGTTTTCCAGTCGACCGCTTCTGGTTATTGCGGTAATAACATTCAACACGAAGAAGCTCTTCGTGTGTTGTTTGAAGGCCTTCTGCTCTTCACTTCTCATTTGAAAAATTATGCACTTCCTGCTTCAACCTTCTTCACACATTTTTCTCTCTTTCTCTATCTCAGTTTGTTCTATAGAAAATAATTATTGTAGTTATTGAGAAAATCACTGTAATGTGAAAACACTGCTTTTTTTCGAGTGTTAATTTACATCATTTTTGAACGTGAATTGCAACCAAACGGATATAAATACAGCAATATATGAACACTCACTACATTCCTCAAACATTCAATTTTCATATACATATATTGAATCCATTCTAATTATTGTATTTATTGAGAAAATCACTGAAATGTGAAGACATTGCTTTTTTCGAGTGTTAATTTACATCATTTTTGAACGTAAATTGCAGCCAAACGGATAAAACTACAGCAATATACGAACACTCACTACATTCCCCAAACATTCAGTTTTCATATGCATATATTGAATCCATTCTACCTATTGTAGAAAATCACTTATTGAGAAAATCACTGAAATGTGAAAACACTGCTTTTTTCGAGTGTTAATTTTCAAATAGACGCTGCAATCTTGTTCAAAACAGACACAAAGAAGACTAGTTAATAACGAAAATCGAATATTTCGAAGAACCTAAACTGGAATTATTACAAAAAAAAAAGAGTTAAATAATCAATTTCTAACACTTAAAAAGAAAACGAACAATTTGAAAAGAATAATAAAAAAATATACTAATAAACTAAACTAAAAAAAAATTAAGGGCAATTTTATAGAAGAGAATCGGTGTTGACGTTGAAAGGAAACCGATGTACCATGAAACGTGCACGAAGAGATTGTTTTCCGTGAATGCAAGGGATTGTTTTTCCTAACTTTTTTTTTCCTCCCGTCTTTTGTACGATGTGTGTGTGTGTGTGTGTGGAAAACTGCAGAGCGCCGAAGAGATACGGCCAGGGAAACTGGAGCGGAAAATGCATCACAGTCTGCACAATGCGAGAGCGCGAAAACCACTAAAGCTTTCCAGCGAACCCGCAGGAACACATCATCACATCTGTCCGCTTTTCACACACATACAGATTTTGCGCACGAGAAAGTTTTTCCGCGAATTTTCCACACACATCGAAAATATGATTTTCCCTTTATGCTGGAGAAGCTATTGTCCGATTTCGGGCAAGTTCAAAAACGCAATGATATCAATTTTCTAATAAATATTTCGTAAATTTTTCAGCTTTCAGCTTTCATACGAGTGGTCGATGATGTAATTATCTTGAGGGGTTGTCGAGAAATTCACGAAAAACTGTAAAAACTGAAAAACATACGAAAAAAATGTTGTACAGCTCATAGCAGGCGAGTCGAAGATAGCACAAAGATGTATTTAGGCGCGTTGGAAAGGTGAGATATTCAGCTTTCATATGAGTGGTTGATGATGTAATTACCTCAAGGGGTTGTCGAGATATTCACGAAAAACTGTAAAAACTTAAAAAACATACGAAAAAAACGTTCTACAGCTCATAGCAGGCGAGTCAAAGATAGCACAAAGATGTATTTAGGCGCGTTGGAAAGGTGAGATATTCAGCTTTCATACGAGTGGTCAATGATGTAATTATCTTAAGGGGTTGTCCAGATATTCATGAAAAACCGAATACACTTAAAAAAACGAGAAAACCGTCGTTTTTCTGTTACGTATAAATCGTTGAGTATGCGCTTTTTTATTTCAATTTCTCCAGCTCATAGCAGGCGACACTACGATAGCACAAAGATGTGTATAGACTCTTAGGAAAGGTGAGATATTCAGCTTTCATATGAGTGTTCGGTGATGTAATTATCTTAAGGGGTTGTTGAAAAATTCACGAAAAACTGTAAAAACTGAAAAACATACGAAAAAAATGTTCTACAGCTCATAGAAGGTGAGTCGAAGATAGCACAAAGATGTATTTAGGCGCGTTGGAAAGGTGAGACATTCAGCTTTCATACGAGTGGTCGATGATGTAATTACCTCAAGGAGTTGTCGAGATATTCATGAAAAACCGAATACACTGAAAAAAAAACGAGAAAACCGTCGTTTTTCTGTTACGTATAAAACGTTGAGTATGCGCTTTTTTATTTCAATTTCTCCAGCTCATAGCAGGCGACACAACGACAGCACAAAAATGTATTTAGGTTCGTTGGAAAGGTGAGATATTCAGCTTTCATATGAGTGGTCGATGATGTAATTATCTTAAGAAGTTGTCGAGAAATTCACGAAAAACTGTAAAAACTGAAAAAAAATACAAAAAAAACGTTCTACAGCTCATAGCAGGCGAGTCGAATATAGCACAAAGATGTATTTAGGCGCGTTGGAAAGGTCAGACATTCAGCTTTCATATGAGTGGTTGATGATGTAATTACCTCAA